ATTTATCGTCGTAAGCCACTACACCTTTGTGCAATATATTTCTTACTTAGTGTATTATTTTCCCCGTAACCTGCTCTAGACATTTTATACACCAGGTCTTAAAACGAAGCATCTACCGCCACAATTCTCAGTATTCTATACAGCGACAAAGTGATCTATGTCTTAAAACAATTATTTATGACAGCAGTCAACTATATTCTGCGTAAATTTTAAAATCAAAACATCCCCTGGCGAAATTCATAATGTATTAATAATTTCGTAGGGCAGTAACAAAACACCAGAGCAATTACCAAGTCGACATTTCAACATGATACTAACGTATGGAATAGTTGATATTCATTAATTACTTGAAAAATCGATAACAGATCTTAATAGAGATTAACACTCTAACAAATAAAAAACACAAACGAATTACCTGTATTGTCGATATCTAGGCCACCATTGTAGAAATAAACAATGCTATATTAGTTCTGGGACGGGTTCCGTATCCTCTAAATAAAAAGTGTTCACTTTCTTAATGCTCACTTGAAGATTCCTGGATTTGTGCCATGACTAGATATTCTGTGCACGTTTAATATAAATCACCTGTCCCACCAGCTCTCACAAGTTAATAACACATAAAAACTCCCCACATCGGTACCATGTATTCCCCTCGACACATTTCACCCTTGCTAAACTTTCTTCGAGTTCCGTTATCACGAACAATAAAGTTGATTAATCCGCTTGCTTTCTATTGTTAACAAATTTCTACCTCGTTTGTAACACTCAATAAGCTAGTTATAAACACCTCGATTGCCCCTTTTTTGCATAATAGGTTCCACAGAGACCAGAATCGTCGAGGTAATCTCTATTTTCAATTGGCTAGACGGGTTACCAGTCTATTCTATATAAAACTAAGTCGGAAGCCACCCGTCCGCATAACTCATTCTACCATAATATCGATCCGCGAATCTTATTGGTTAATGTGCTGCTACGCCTCATGAAGTAAAGAATAGTTCATATTGAGAGATTGGTGCTAGTCATATCCAAGAGGATATTGAGTTCTTTAAAAACTGGAAGAAAAAACATTACATGCACTAGTGAAACTAACACTTTGATAAGCCTTTTACTTATCGCGTTGTTAGTAAAAAAAAAGAGACGCGGTTTGGCTTTTAAGATGTTTTCTTTTTAAACATCAACCGCGCTGATTTAATCACTTTAGCGTCAGAATATTAAGTTATTTTCCGTTATTATAAGATTACTGAAGATGCCTCGCTGCATTATGGTAGGCATGTGTATGCCGGAAGTTAGGATTATTTGATCTATATAGAAGGTATGCTAATCTAAAAGAATTCATCATGAAAATATGTTTAAAACCGTTGATAGAGTACAATATGAATAAGCTTTCAAACAAAAGTATCGAATGGTGCTTAAACACTGCACAGTTAATTATTGTCCAACCATAGAGTTCTATTATGCCATGATTTTCAATGGATAGATACCTGTATTCTGACGATGGCTTATTTGATAATTCTTGACAGTCAATGTGTTACCTAATCGTTCGAAAGGTATGCAAAACAGCGGGCCACAGGTGTACACATTAGTGGGCACGTAAAAGAACCATTTAAATTTGAAATCGATCAAAACTAGGTGCAATCGCGGTACCAAAGCAAGATCATTCTCCTAACTTTAGTCACTTGGCGATAGAAGTCTGGAAATTATCGAATTACTTAATATGTTGACAGGACAACTAGCTTTAGCCACTTGACGATAGCAGTCTCAAAATTATCGAATTAATTGATGTGTTGACAGGACAACTCCGTCTCTTTCCTAATTCAACATTGTACGGAGTAAATCCGTAATCTGCAGATCAAAATTCCTTGTCTGCTCTCTTTAAAACTGTACAGATTCTTTCATAAAGACGTTGTTATCGGTGAAAGTCTGAAGAAATTGGCTTATTATCATTCAAGACGACTATTATACTCTGTCAAATATTATAATATTGCCTCCCTCCTGTGCAAAGAAATTGCGATTCGGGTCAGGGGTCCGATAACCATTATCTCGGTTTATTACCAAACTAGACAAAATAGTATCGGATTACAAAGAACAACTAATGATGACAACTAAATTAGAATATGTCAATTCCGATTATGTGTAATTGGCTCTAATTCGTTTAAATACCTGTATATTTTGTTACTTCCGTGGACTGTTATTCGATGACGGCAGCACTGTTGGTTCTTTTTGTTCTTGAGGTACTCTCAGTATAGGCCTCATTCCGCGTTGTTTCTTTATTACAACTTCAGTGTCTATATTATCCAAGCTTGATAACAGAACTGTTGAATATAACAAGCATTTTAACGGGAATATTTCACGGTATGTTAGCGGAAGGATTTTTTTGGATTTCACTGTAAATCGCAACACCCCATCTGGTAGTTTTTATGGGTAGCCAAGGGCAGAAATCCAGATACTGTTCTGCTCCGACTAGGCTAATGAAGACGGACATACGTCATTCCGTGTTCTATGAGAAACATTTTGCCCGGACAGCAGCACTACGGCCTACTTTTATATAGAATTCCAACTACCAAGGGATCTTTTATGTGCACGCCAATGTGTACACGGGACTTTGGTTTTTCGTCCCGTCCGAACGGCTGACTATACGTAGTCCCTTGCCAGGCCCTCTGTCCTGCACCACTGACTAGTGGGAACTACGCCAACGCAGGGATCGAACACGCGACTCCAGGTTAGCGGGTGAATGTCTTACCCGCTCAACCACCGTGGCCCCCAGACCCTGAAAGATGTATCACTGACATCAGGGGTATACACGGGGATGTGTTATATTGTACTCCACACAAAATAATTGTATTTAACATACACAGCTCGATTTACATATAACTATGATCAAAGTATGGTTACAATGTGTTATTTCCTTTAACTACAGTTTTAGTGTTGTTTGTGATACTACCTTTCACAAGTGATCTGGTATTCGGAGATCGATCTGATCCTGGACGAGTCGAGTGGTCCCTCTTGGAAGTATTTATGTTTACAACCAAATTGTAATGGATAAGGAAGTTGTAATCGCCGTTAACCTTATGGTGGTACTGGTTATATGGGGTCAGCATTCGTTCTCATTTTAAACTCCGCTAGCGTCAATATGCATAATGGCAAAACTTAATCCGTGGAACAGTTCTACTTTTGGCCCTAGGATATTGAATATAATTTCAGATATTAGACTCGCGGTTGCCGTTTCTAGTCTAACTTAATAAGTTTAAGTTCAGATATATACTGTCGCAGAAGGTCAACGACTACCATTACCGAATCTCTTAACGGCTTAGCGTTGGTCTGAGAAGATGTAATAAATGACCTCTAAATATCCAAACTAAAGGAGTTCACATAAAGCTTTAGTAAGGGGTTAATTTTATTAGTGGTATAAGGACCTAATGTCCATACATACACTAATTTCAGCTTCTTTTCTCCCAACCGAAAGATTTCCGAAATACCAAATTTGTCGAACAGTCTATGTAAAAAAATTAGGACGGTATTATTTTATGTCATTCTGGAGCCAGTGGGTCTGTATTTGCTGAATGGACTTCTACTATAAATCGGTGCTTGAGTAACTTTGTATTGGTAATAGAACCAGAATAGCATTGATCTTCTGCCAATCAACAGCCAACAAACCTGTTCGTTGTATTCTTCTACAAAATCCAATAAAGATATATTTACAAATATAGCTCGTACATCGTAGGCATATTGATATTAACAGAAAAAGAATAGGTAGTTTTAATCTATAGGAATCGATAGATGTTTAAAGATGTTAGTTACTTAAAGGTGTTGATTATTTAAATGCTCATGACCGTCCCCGTGTCAGATAGTTTCTCAAATTAAGTAGTTTTATGACAAGTTAGACGTTAGCGAATCTTAGTTTCTTGCGTTTTTGTAATTATTTCTCGTTTTATTTGGTTAATTGTTATTTATTTATTTATTTTTTGAGGGAGGAGGGGGCAGAATGTCAAGATTCGAACCCAACTTAAATCGATAGGAACTTTCGAGATTTATCAGCCCGCATAATGTGATTTGTAATAAACTGGAGTCTAGGCCTTCTGATATCCCGCGAGTTCGTTATACAGCAACTTATATGATAACAAGGAAAACTAAGCGTATGCCACATATCAGTAGAAAGCACGTTCACTGTTCTTTTCAAATATATAAATAATTTTCTGGCACATGTATATTTTCTTGCCATGAAAAGTGAAAAGGGGGTGGGGGGAGGGTATTTGGAATAAAAATGCGGGGCTTAATCCAAAATTCGGTATATCCTCTCTTGAAATGTATTTATTATATTTTCGGCGGAATGCATATATACTTTTTAAAATTAAAATTGATACAAGTTTGTTAGCCTTCACTGGCTGAATTAAAGATAGTGGTTTTTAATGTCAAAATATGTGTCTTAATACGAAATTCCAGTTATTGTGTCATACATCACCGGACAGTAGGTTTCTATGGCTCTTTAAATCTACTTATTATTTTCTGGCACATTCACGATTACATACTTTCCGAAGAGATAAAAGCATTTTTATTTTCAGCAAAGAAATGGTTTACTAAAATTGGACTACTTTCAATTCATTTTATTTATCGAAGGATTGAATTAGCCCATACCGAGCACGTGATTACACTCAAGTCATGGTCATCCAGCGAATTTGGTAGTGAGGGCCAGCCAATCTGTTTCACGGAGATCTTCTAATATTTCTGTAACAGATGACTGTTTCGACACGTGACGTCACATCACGCGGCGTCAATCATTGGCTCAATAGCGCGAGCATTGTTTACATGATACGTTACTGATTCATAGCGCGAGCATTGTTAACATGATACGTTACTGATTCGGGCTAAATGGTGAATTTTTCTTTTTTTAATACCCATTTACACTAAATAGCAAATGATTTTACCTACAAATAATTCAGAAGTCTTTATTAATTTTTCTAATAAATGAAAAAAAATGTTTCAGAATTTAATTTGACGGAAGAAAAAAGTTAATATTTGGGACTCATTAAGTCGCATCGATGTCATCCTTATCAGTGATTGTAGCGGCCTAGCGAAAATTCACTGCTGATCAGTGTGAGGGCCAGCTTGATTCGCAGTTAGTGAAGGGTAAGTATTCTTAGTGAAGGATGAGATAGTGAGGGCTGACTTGATCTCGGCAAGGGACAGTACTCTTTTATTCATGGCCGCTTCAACATTGATAAATAAAGTCGACACTACGACAACCCGACATCACGACATTTTTACGCGACATTACGACATTCTTATTTGAGGGTAGCCATTTTGCGATAATATTCCAAATTTTCACCTTATTTATCGAAATATTAACTGTGATTTGGCAATGTATTAATATTGGCGGCATTCATGACTATATCTCAGATTGTTTTCCATCGTTTCATGATGATATTTCCAAGATGGCGCCCATTTTTAGCGGGAAAATCGGTCGATGTGCTGATTTCGATTAAGTAGTAGTGTTTGGTGTCAATATACATGTTTTCGGGGTCACAAATTCCATTCCTGACATTTACAACCTTGTAAAATGATCACATGTTCATATACTTAGCATATTACCAAGATGGCGGGCATTTTTGGCGGGAGTATGAGACGATGTGCAGATTTTGATTAAGTGGTAGTGATTGGTGACAATATATATGTTTACGGGGTCGCAGAATCAATCTCTGACATTTACAACCTTGTAAAATGATCACATGTTCACATATTTAATATATTTCCAATATTGCTGCCACTTGTGGCGGGAAAATCGGACGATGGGTTGATTTCGATTAAGTAGTTGTCTTTGGTGACAATATATATGTTTTCTGGGAGGCAGATTCGATTTCTGTCATATACAACTGCGTAAAATGATTGTATGTTCACCAATTTAGCATATTTCCAAGATGGTGGAACGTTTTCTAAACACATTATTAGCATTATTTATCTTCGATTTTTCTGGGAAAGTAAAGCCTATTCCTGGCATGAAGGCAAAAAGAGCATAGCGGCAGCGTGGTGCTTACGCCACGTGCCCATCATGCGCCTGCAACGACCACACTAAGCGCTTACTTCAAGATCTTTCTACGCCCATTGCCAAGATCTGGCTGCGCGAAAATTGTTCCCACCATGATCTCACAGTTACAAGTCAGACCGGGATACTTTCTCACCACACTCCAGTGACATGCCTACCAGGCGTAAGGCGTTCTCTATTCACGCCTATAGAGACTGTGCCATGCTCACTCGTCCTCATTCGCTTTCAACGCAGAAAACAACCAATAGTCAAGCAATCAAGAACATTTCATAGTTTTCTTGAGGTTTCCTCTTTGGGTGCTAGACTGGAGCTGATGGACGAGGCTCAGTATCTTCCCTATATATACAAAAAGGTCGTAACAGCGTAGCAAGTATATGGCCAGAAGGTTCGTTCCAGCCTGGCAGCAACGTGGATGATAGTGGTGGGGACGTGGCTGTAAATGAAATACTTGCTAAGAAGCCCTCATAGCATGTGGATTGATATTGCGCTGGAGTTCAACTACTACATTGTTGGATAATATACCTAATGGGTAAACTTGGCACAGGCTTCCAGGAACATGCTACAAGCTTATACATAGCAGAATTGGATTCAGAAACCTTTACAGTGATGTATTTAGAAAACGTCCTGCCACAAACAAAAATATGCTGAATGTGTGAACATGCCACCATTTCACGCAGTTGTAAATGGCAGAAATCGAAACTGCGCCCCCGAAAAACAAATATTGACACAAAAACACGACTACGTAATCAAAATCAGCACATCGTCCCATTTTCCAGCCCGACATGAAAGCCATATTGGAAATATGCTAAATATGTGAACATGTGATAATTTTACACAGTTGTAAACGGCCAAAATGGAATCAGCTCCCCAAAAAATATATCTTGGTGCCATAGACGACTACTTATTCAATATCCGCACATCATTCCATCTTCCCACCAAAAATAGCCGTCATATTGTAAATGTGCAAAATAATCATTTTACACAGTTGTTACTGACCGAAATAGATTCTGTGCCCTTGAAAACATATATATTGACACGAACGACGACTACTTAATCAATATCAGCACATCGTCCTATTTTCCAGCCAAAAAATGACCGCCATCTTGGAAATATGCTAAGTATATGAACATGTGATCATTTTACAAGGTTGTAAATGTCAGGAATGGAATCTGTGGTCCCGAAAACATATATTTTGACACCAAGCACTACTACTTAATCGAAATCAGCACATCGTCCGATTTTCCCGCCAAAAATGGTCGCCATCTTGGAAATATCATACTGAAATGATGGAACACAATCTGAAGTATAGTCAAGAACCCTGTAAATATTAATACATTGCCAAATTACAGTTGATATGTCGATAACATTATAAATAAGGTGAAAATAATAAAATAAGTTGGAATATTATCGCAAAATGGCTACCCTCAAATAATGGCGTCCCATACTATGAAGACCTACTCAGAAAAAATGTCAACATTGGTTTTTTGTAATCAAACATCAAAACCTACAAACTAAAGCTTATTCCATGATTTCTACCCGAAAAGCCGACGGATGAGAAAAAATGTCAACATTGGTTTTTTGTAATCAAACATCAAAACCTACAAACTAAAGCTTATTCCATGATTTCTACCCGAAAAGCCGACGGATGGGAATTATGTAACAAACCGAATCCGACTATTGGTATTGATCAAGATTTCTCGGGATTTCTCCTTGTCATTAGTATAGAATGGAGAAAGGGGGGGGGGGGGTAACGTCCACTCGACACAAACTAGGCCATTTCGAGACTAACATTTCAATTTTATTTCAATAATTCGCTTGCGCGTAGGGATCCTTAGTAGTGGGATTAAACCGGAGGACCCGGAGAAACCCCACGAGGTTGGACAGGCGATCGTACACCTTGTAACGCACAACCCGAGAATCGAAACCACGGCAGTTGACTCAATGACAGATCATATGATACAGCGCGCACGTGCTAACCATTCGGCCATATGGAGCGTGGGGCGTTGGCGTGCACATAAAATACCCATTGACAGATGCAGAGGCGGATTCAATGGGGGGCGCCCCCCCCCCCCTAACCCGTTGTGGGGATCCCAAATGACTCAAACCATCGACTCAAACACACCAGTCTGGGAAATAGCTCTTGGAATGGCTACAGATGCAAGAAAATGACCCCCTCTCAGCGGCGTGCCCCGTCTCCGCGGTCAATGCCTTCATATTGCAGCGCCCCCCCCCCCCTTTTCAAAATTCCTAGATCCGCCCCTGAGATGGAACTGGAAAACGTAGACCATAGAATCACTGCCTGGGTAAAATTTCCCCCGTAGCACAATGCATGGCCCATGCCCGTCTTCACTATTCAGATTAATGCAGAAAGTGGGACGTTAAACCCCATTTATTCACCTAGACATAGTCATGGGCCGACCGCCACAAGCCCAGTTACTTAAATACCGCTTCACACAGACCAAGCCCATAGGATCCTTGACCAACCGGAAATACTAAGTAAATAGAATATCTATTTATTTTGTTAGTGGAACATGAGTACAAAGAACTACATTATAATAATATACTTATTCCATACATCGCAAACCATAATGAGAAATTTGTGTTTCACCATGTCTTTGAAGTGGTGCGCTTAATTGTTAATCAGATTTATTAATATATTATATATTGTTACTTCATAGAATAATTTGTTTTCTGTTGATTGGCTTACACGAAAGGTCAGGCCAGGACGATACATGGGTTTATTACACAAATTTAAAAATGTTTATTACAAAACTTGTTTCCACAGAGCTTCGGCATCTATTATTTATAGACTAGGCTCTGGTATTTCAGTGTGCTCTTTTTTTGCAGACGCTTGTATGATATACATAATATAGTATAAACATCCGTGCTATTCCACAATCAATTAGTGAATATATTCATTCATGATTAATATTTAATGGTTGATGTTACCGGCACTTGTATAAATATTATCTTTAGTCAATTCCCATTACTTGGTGCTGGGATTTTATTTTGTTATGTTTAATCAAGGCATGCAGCTGTGTACCAAAACGTACTGAAAAATAGACCAGTAATAAGTTGATATATTTTAATCGATTAACCGACTGAATTTTCATACATAAAAATATATTAATAGGAATTACACTGTTGAGTCATGCGTGAGTCATGTGGTATATTTTTACACTTTTTACTTCGACACTGTATAAGGAGATTTTTAAACCCTGTAATTCTTTATCTTTTGTTTTCATTTATCAGTTCATTAGAGAACCAGTGGCTGCCAGGCAGGATACGCTTACATTTTGCAAGAGATGGGTAGAGAACAAGCTAAATCAAAAACCGATTTTTCATGCAATCAAGGGCCATAATTCAGTAAGTTACGATCCGAAATGCGCGAATATCGACAGGAACCAAGATCTTTGGGTTATGAAGTTATATTTCAAGTTTCATCAAAATCGGATCAAAATTGATATACCAAATATTTACACTATTTGCGTATGATAGGCGGCCATTTTGTCCGACAGTCTTGGTCGACCATCATTAGGGTGTAACGGTGAAATATTCAAACGTTTCTTTTTCAGTCGGATAAAAATTGTGACTCTATCGGGACCACAAGTTCAACACGCAATTTTTCTTACATTCAAGGGCCATAATTCAGGAAGTTACAATCTGATATGCGCGAATATCAAAAGAAACCAAGATCGTTGGGTTATAAACAAGTATTTCAAGTTTCATCAAAATTGTGGCCTCTAGAGGGCCCACAACCTTGATATACCATATTTTTTACGCTATTTACGTACTAGTGGCGGCCATTTTGTCCGGCAGTTTTGGTCCTATTTTCACGAAATTCGAACTCAAGCGTCATTACAGTGTAACGGTGATATATTCAAACATCTTTTTAAATCGGATAATAATTGTGACGTCTAGAGGGACCACAAGCTAAAAACGCGATTTTTCGTACAATCTTGGGCCATAATTCAGGAAGTTACGATCCGATATGCCCAAATATCGAAAGGAACCAATATATTTGAGTTATAAACATGTATTTCAAGTTTCATCAAAATCAGATCAAAATATACCAATATCGAAAGGA